TTGCCCTTGTAATATTTGGCGTAACGCCAGTATACGGCGTATGTCAGATATCCGGGGTAGAAAAACCACGGCCACTTGGGCGCCAGCAGCTGTATGGCCGAATTATAGCCCTCGACTAGCTCCTGTACTCTTCCAGAGAAGCTGAATCTCGGCTGTCCGGGATCTTGTTGATCAAACGACACCGAATTCCGCTTGCCAACGACTTTTTTCTGCGAAAATCGATCACGACATTAGCTAATAGGGTTAAAATATTTGTTTTGCACCTACCGCAGCTTCATTTTCATTCATTTCATACAATAAATATGGACAAAAACACAACAGAAAGCACGAGTACAAGGGTTAATTTCGAGGAGGCGGTGTCAAAGTTCAAGGAGTTGGGAGGTAGGGGCCAGACAAATACACTGAAATATGCAATGGCAAGTTAATCCTGTTAATGCATAGCAAATTTTACCCTCTGCTTTAAAAATTAGCTTGCTTATTTGGCCAGTTACTTTGGATTTTACCTTTTTCACAATTACTCTCCTCTTCATTACGAATGTTTTGATTCTGGTAATATAGTTGCTTAAAAAATACTAAAAGTATTCTGTCAGCTGTCCACAGTAAGCCCTCATGATCTCTCCATTAAATTATTAACCTAACCTGCATAATATTATTAAAATAATCATTTTTATACAATGTAAGTTGTCATTGGTCTAAATTTTCGAAGAAATGGTAAGCTTTGTCAGTCCTAAAGCTATGTAATTTATCAAATCTTGCATTATAAATTATAATCCAGTATCGCCAGTACTTACTGTATATTTTGGTGGTACTTGCATCATTTCAGTATATTTCATTATTCACTTAGGCGTTTTTAGCCGCTGCAAGTCTGGTCACACACTTCCACGCACAACAAAATAGTACACAGGTTCCAAATATATTTTAATTTTCCGCGATAATGAGTCTGGAAATGAGCAATATCAACGGGGGAAACGGTACTCAATCGTCCCACGAAAAGCGTGAGTTGCTGTGCCTGCTGAAACTCATCAAGAAGTACCAGCTGAAGAGCACCGAAGAGCTGCTCTGCCAGGAGGCGAATGTGAGCAGTGCGGAGTTGTCGGATATCAGTGAAAGTGATGTTCAGCAGGTGCTGGGCGCAGCTCTGGGAGTTGGAGACGCCAACCGGGAGCGGAAACATGTCCCATCTCCAGCGCAGGGTCATAAGCAGTCCGCGGTGACGGAGGCGAATGCTGCAGAGGCATTGGCAAAGTTCATCGGCGACGACAGCTTTGATGCCCAGCACTATGAGCAGGCATATAAGGAGCTGCGCACTTTCGTCGAGGACTCCCTGGACATATACAAACATGAGCTGTCCATGGTTCTGTACCCCATCCTGGTGCAGATCTACTTCAAGATACTGGCCAGTGGACTAAGGGAAAAGGCCAAAGAATTCATTGAGAAGTACAAATGCGATCTCGATGGCTATTACATAGAGGGTCTGTTTAGCCTACTTATGCTGTCCAAGCCGGAGGAGCTGCTTGAGAATGACCTCGTAGTGGCCATGGAGCAGGATAAGTTTGTCATTCGCATGTCCAGGGACTCGCACTCTCTGTTCAAGCGACACATCCAGGATCGCCGGCAGGAAGTGGTGGCAGACATTGTTTCCAAGTATTTGCATTTCGACACCTACGAGGGCATGGCGCGCAACAAGCTGCAGTGCGTCGCCACAGCGGGCTCGCACATCGGCGAGGCCAAGCGACAGGACAACAAGATGCGGGTGTACTACGGACTGCTCAAGGAAGTGGACTTTCAGACTCTGACCACTCCAGCGCCGGCACCAGAGGAGGAGGACGATGATCCGGATGCCCCGGATCGCCCGAAAAAGAAAAAGCCGAAAAAGGATCCCCTGCTGTCGAAAAAATCCAAGTCGGATCCGAATGCTCCATCCATCGACAGAATTCCTCTGCCGGAACTGAAGGATTCGGACAAGTTGCTAAAGCTTAAAGCTCTCAGGGAAGCCAGCAAGCGTCTAGCCCTCAACAAGGATCAACTGCCCTCTGCCGTGTTTTACACGGTGCTCAATTCTCATCAGGGCGTAACCTGTGCCGAGATTTCAGACGATTCCACGATGCTGGCCTGTGGATTTGGAGACTCGAGCGTGAGGATTTGGTCATTGACACCCGCCAAGCTGCGTGCGCTGAAGGATGCAGATGCCCTTCGTGAACTGGACAAGGAATCAGCAGATATCAATGTGCGAATGCTTGATGACCGAAGTGGTGAGGTAACCAGAAGCTTTTTGGGTCACACCGGACCCGTATACCGCTGTGCCTTTGCCCCCGAGATGAACCTGTTGCTCTCATGTTCCGAGGACGGTACCATAAGGCTGTGGTCCCTGCTTACCTGGTCCTGCGTGGTCACCTACCGGGGCCACGTTTACCCGGTGTGGGATGTGCGCTTTGCGCCACATGGCTACTATTTTGTTTCTTGCTCCTACGATAAAACTGCTCGTCTGTGGGCCACGGATTCCAATCAAGCGTTGCGAGTCTTCGTGGGTCACCTGTCGGACGTGGATTGTGTTCAATTTCATCCCAATTCCAACTACGTGGCCACCGGATCTAGCGATCGTACAGTACGCCTGTGGGACAACATGACTGGTCAGTCGGTGCGCCTAATGACGGGCCACAAAGGATCGGTGAGTTCTCTGGCCTTCTCCGCCTGCGGACGGTATCTGGCCTCGGGTTCCGTAGACCACAACATCATCATCTGGGATCTGTCGAACGGATCATTGGTCACCACACTTCTAAGGCACACGAGCACTGTGTCCACGATCACCTTCAGTCGCGATGGAACAGTCCTCGCCGCAGCCGGCTTGGATAACAACCTAACTCTGTGGGACTTCCACAAGGTTACCGAAGACTATATCAGCAATCACATAACTGTGTCGCATCACCAGGATGAGAACGACGAGGACGTCTACCTGATGCGGACGTTCCCCAGCAAGAACTCGCCTTTCATTACCCTGCACTTTACGCGCCGAAATCTTCTGATGTGCGTGGGTCTATTCAAGAGTTAGGAACACAGATAAGTTTATTTGGTATACGTAATGTAGTCTTAAGGAATGCTCGGAATGTTTAGGATTAATGTTTTGTATTCCGTTTGTGCCCATCCCCCTGAAATGTCTATTAGTTTTTTAAGCAGAAAAGTGTAATGTGCATATATGCACAACTTATCAATAAATTTTAATTAACATGAAATTCAATCATTAGGGTCCTTAAATTTAATTCATATTTATTTAAGTCATATAAAGCATATACACAGATAAATACGTAGCTGGACGATTTACCTACTCCGCGTCAGCGATTCCAAACGTCCGGCGCACGGCTATCGAGTTCTTGATGTTAAAGATTGCGCAGCGCGGAGGCTTCTCCCCGCCAAAGGCCAAGGTGTAGGGATCTTCGGGGCACTGGCGCATGCACTGCAAGCGACCCATGTTGAACTCGTGCTCGTAGACGTGCTTTGCCTCTGTGCCATCAAAGTTCCATACCTTCAGGGTGCCCTCCGTGGAGGTGGAGGTCAGCAGATTGGGCATCTGGTTGTTGAAACATACACCGGAGATTTCCTCGTTGTGGGCCTTTACGGACCACAGCAGCTGGCCAGGTGAACGTTTGTCTGCGTAATGCAAGCTGCCATCGTTGGTGCCCACGATGAAGTAGTCGTTCTGAGTGGGATGCCACAGGACCTTCTCAACCTCACCGTCAACTTTCCACTGAATGCTGGACGAGTTGACGCCTTCAGAGTCGCGACAATCGAAGAGTCGCACATATCCATCGGCGCAGCCGGTTAGGATGCTTTGGGCCTCTTGCGGATGGAATTCCAGCGACTGAACCTTTTCGCCAAAGGCGGTAATGGTGGTATGTGGCTGGCCCTCGTCCATGTCCCACAGAATCACAGTTTGGTCCACGGAGCCGCTGGCCAGAATGTGCTCAAAGTTGGTGTTCCAAGAGAGATCCAGCACGGCGTCCTTGTGTCCATACTGCTCCTTGTTCTGCTTGCGGCTGCCCTTAGAACCCAGCTTAAAGGTGGGCTCGATAGAGTCCTGGATGTCCAAGTCCCAGATTGTGATTATCGGATCCATGCAGCCGATGGCGCACATGTTGCCGGCCTTTTCGCTGCCCGCATCGTGATTCATCCACTCAATGCACAGGGGAAAGCTGGGCAGCAGAAAGTCGTGATGGGTGTAGAGAGCCTCCTCCTCCTGGTTGAACACCCACACCTCCATGGAAGCGGCGTCGTCCTGCACATGACCAACCAGAATAAGGTTGTCGCTGGGTTTGATCACCTCGTCCTCGGCCTCAGAGTCTTCGTCCTCATCGGGAATTTGCTCGCCAGCGTCCACGATGTTGGCCAAACTGGTGACATTGGCATTCGCCTCGTTGTCATACTCCTGGAACTGGAACTCGTCCTGCGGATCTCGGTTCTCACTGTTGGCATCCTCGTGGTCGTCCACATCCATGTCGTTATGGTCCTCCGCGTCATTTTCGCCCTCCTCCGCCTCGTCGTCGCTCTCCTCGTCCAATTCCTGTTGCGTATCACCGATAATCCTGGCCAGCTCCGCCTGCGTCAGCACGATTTTATCGGGACGATCCTTGGCCACGCCGCGTGGTACGAAGCAAAGAGCTGGGACAAAGTCAATGCTCGGTTCCGGTGGTCCCTCCTCAGCCATTATAAGTAAATGTTCAACTCAGTTTGCTAAACCAAACGAAATTGTAAACACGTGCAGTTCAAACGAGCCAGGTAGTGTGACCAGCTCTTATCAATGACGAAGTTACTAATACTTTAAATAAATACTAAAACGTATGGCATCAAAGATTTTTATACTCTTAAAAACTTATATTTCAACTTTTTTTATTTAACATTCTGTTTTGGAATGGACTACTTTTTCAACAAATTTTATTTATCTTTTTTTCGAATATGCATTTCCCAAAGATCGCTCTGATTTATTCTCCAAAAGTGTTCTGTCCTCTAATTCCCACTGTCATCCTTATCAGTACTTTCCATTGCTTAATGCAAAATGCAATCAAAGATTAAGATAAACAGTAATCTGCATATTTTGCTATCTGCTGAGATACCAGAGATACCTACGATCTTTAGTCTTAAAGTTGCCCTCAGGATGGACGCGCGAAAATGTTCTACCCACATATTGGTAACCTATTTTCAACTTTTATATATACGTAATTTTATTTGTATTTCTACAAATCCTTTACAGGATACTTCAGTGGGAAAGGCGGCAGCCAATGTGAGAGTAACAGTTTCCAGGCTGGACGAGATTCAGGAGTGGAGATCCCTTCGGGCGGCCCAAACTGATGCGGATGGTCGCTGCCTGCTTTTGCAACCCGGTCAATTCCCCAGCGGGATCTACAAGCTGACCTTTCACGTGGGCGCCTATTACGCAGAGCGCAATGTGAAGACCCTGTATCCAGCAATCGACTTAATTGTAGATTGCAGTGAGAACCAGAATTATCACATTCCCTTGTTACTCAATCCCTTTGGATATTCCACTTATCGTGGCACATAACTTGTGACTCAGAGTACATAAGGAATGGATTTTATATAACTAAAAAAAAAAATTTCTAATTGCTTTGAATAAATTCCATTGGAGTGTTTATTTGTGTTTATTTGTTAAACAAAGTTCGCGATCGCTGAATGCATCGTGCGATGTTCGTGCGTGATCCACTACCCTCACGATCCCACCTCTAATCAGTACAGTACATTGCCATCTCTAGCCAGCATTCGTTGTGTCGTTTGGCTCCTCAGTTTGTATTTTGCAGTCGTCGCGGTCGGTTCGTGCGTTCGGTGCGCTGTCGGTGTTTGGTATTGAATGTTTTTGAAACGGCGATCTGCCGACTCCGTGTGCCGGTATTTAGAATACAAAAACATACATACTTGGAAATGCGAAAGCGATGGCAAGTGCTCCCTGCAAAGTGAGTGGGTGATGGATCCTTGCGTCCTACAGATCTGTGCGGCTTAAATCTGCCACCGCGGTGCAACAGTTGTTTCGGAATGGAATAGGATTCTGAGTGGAAATAATATCCGTGTGTGCGTATTGTCAAAGAGCTAAACAAGAAGTGGGATTTGTTATTGGAAAGTACAAACAGCGCTCCCATAGACACACACACTCGATGCGGCCGAGCCAGCAAATCCCCGACAAATCTTAAACCAGTTTTAAGATACATATTCTTGGTGTCAGTGTGTGCATGTTGATTTTTTCTGGCATTGTTTTCGTTTTTGTGTGTTTTTTTTATATATTCCGTGCTGCTGGCTCTGCATCTTTTTTGTGTACCCATACCCTTTTCGCCTGCCCCTAATCGCGTTTCCATTTTCTGGCCATCGTCCAGATTCGAGGTTTCGGTTTTTGGGGTCCGAGAGAGCAACAAGTACCCCCGCCTAGTACCTATACCTATGCCTACATCTATATCTGTACCCATACCAAGTGGCTGCCCGCGTCTCGCTCCGTCTGCCATCTGAAAACCCGAAAAACACGGAAAGAAACGAGCTTGGATTCTAACGAGATCAGCACGCCAGTTGGTAACTCTGCCCCAATTGGTCCAATTTGAATGCGGTACGAAGCACCTCCGGAATCCGGCGAAGATCGCACAAATAATTCCAAAAGGTGAGTGGCAATGGTTCTGGGTGATCTCATCAGGAAACTAGGAATATGTGGTTTTAGAATATAATTCAATCGGCCAAAAAAACCTGTTGCTTAAGATTCACTTATTCATCCAAATTTCGTCAGCTTTCGTTCCTTTAACCTTATCCAAATATATGAAAAGTGCAGAAGTAAATATCCTAGCTAGAGTTCAAATATCATAGGAAAGGATATCGTATTTTAATAAACTACGAATTACGTAAATGATTTATTACAAGGAGAGACGGAGCAAACAGTTGCGTAAATGATTTATTACAAGACCAAACATAGCCAACATTATATTGATAAGCTATATTATGGCTCATAGCCATAAATACAAAACGATGAAAGCATTCTTCAGATCGCGCTAGATTTTTAAGCTTAATTAAAATTTAAATTCAATTCAACTTTAGTGAATGTGCAAAAATGTAGCCAGAACCAGTTGAGTTATACAGCGAAATTAACACTTTCATTGTTCATACGGTAGTAGAACTTGTATCTTTGAAACGTGGGAAATAATTTATGTAAAGTTTATATTTTAATTCGGCTGTTGGTTTTAATTTTAAAATATTTAAATAATAAATAAAGTTGTCTAGCTCGAGGACTGTTACATCATCTTTTCTGCGACGTTTGGCGCAATTTGGTTTACCTAATAATTGAAAGTTGGGCGCCGCATTAAAACACAATCAAAATGACAACTTGCTAACGGTCAATTGATCACAAGCCCCAATGAATTCGACAAAAAAGAGCCGAAAAATTGTGTATATGTAATTGATAATCGATCCGACGATAAGCACTTTCCTGGCCCGCAGCTCCGGCCAAAACCAATCATTAATAACTGTAGTCCAGAGATAAATTAAACCATGGCTTCGAATACCGTTAGACGCGGCGCTGGAAAAGTGTCAAAAATCGTAACCTACGTGGATATAATTTGCACTGACGTAAAGCCAAAAACCCAATATGCGATGATCGTTAAACGCTGTAGGCAAATTAGAGAGCGGCTAAGCGGCCAAAGTGCAGAAAAGAAGGCAAAAGTTGGCCACAAAAACAAAGCACCAGCAGCAGGAAAAAACATCGAAATACGAAATAGTAAAAAATAAATGTAAAAACCTTTAAGTCTGCAGAGTTGGGGGGAGGGTAAAAATGGGGGGAAATCGCCACTGCTTGAGCATGTTTGTCGTCGAGTTCAGCTGACATCGCAAAATGGCAAGAAGCCTCTCTGAGATGCACAGAAAAAAATCATTTTTTTAAGACATCCATACCAAATATGGCCATGATATGCAAATATGTTTGCAACACACATCAAAGAAATATTCAAAAACTCCTACTGAACATGACATATTTACTTTTATAGAAGTACGTTATCAGCAGATTAGAAATATCAGATTTTCTCAGCTGAAAACCATAGGAAAACCGTTCATAATCAGAGTTTTCCTCTCATTTCCTTGCAATAACTTTTTGCTGCACTTTAGCTACTTAAACTGTGAATAATACAGATTATTTGCAGCCGTGTAGCTGAAATGGCAAGAGCAAACAGGAAATGAACCCGCATGCACTTTTTCAAGTACCTTTCGTTCGAATTCGCTGGCCGATTGCATCGAGTTGTTCACTCGAGCACCGGAGTTGGAGCTCCGACTTGAGCTTGAGCTTGGTCTAAAGTAAATTTTGTCGTCGTCTTGTGTTTCTTAGTTCGCCTTTAAGTTGTGCACGTACCCAGTGACTTTTACAGAGGTTCCAGCGGGGTATATTCGCACCTGGAGTTGTGAGAACAATGTTCAATGTGCGAACGAACTATTCAATGCAAGTTCCCACCAATTACATTTAGCCTTGAATACCATTGGGCAATTACGTTGGTTAACCCTGTTTTCACTGGCAGCTTAGAATAAGCACATTCGACTCACTTTTTCTTCACTTGTGCATAGTTCCCAATTCTAAATCATTTTTTTTATGTATATTCGAAATTTAAAATAGAAACCAATAGAACAACACCTTGCTGTCTATTATTTTGTGCAGTTTTTACAGACCTTTTTTAGCCGCAACAAAAAGTTGAATCAGAAATTGCAATTCGCCGCGCTCAATAGTTCTATTAAATCGCCATGGTAGGTATCGCTTTGGCGAATCTGCAGCTCTAGCCTCAACATTTAGTTGTATTTCATTGCATTTTGTTTTGTTAATTTCCATGCAATTTCAGGGCATTTCATTCCGCTTGGGCGTAGTTGTTCCCGAACCCCAAGTAGATGTTTTTCGCAATGTTTGCGCAGTTGTGTGGGCATTTGCATTTGTATCTGAGTGCTGTTTGAGTCCGGGTTGCAGGGGTGCGGATGTGTGGATGTGTGGCAGTGTGAGTTGGCCAACCTGTTCGGCGGAACTCAAGGAAAATGAGTCAGCAGCGCCGGGCCGGGCAGGGCCGGGCTTTCGCATCCATGAGATACATTTCGAGTGGACTCCGCAAAGTATTTGCCGAGGACATCAGGGTCTGCGGGATCCTTCTTCCTTTCTGACCTGCACTCAAGCGTTTATCCGCCGAAGGTTTTGATTATTTTGTTTCATGCGCCCTTGGCAATGTCTCATATTACTTGGGATGGAATGGGCCTGTACATATGTACATATATCCCCTGCCATCCGTATCTTTTCCTCTTCGCTTTGTTCATCGCCCCTTTGCTTCATTTCCCGGCTATGCATGGGGCCACTCCAAATGTGTTCAATGTGTAGTTTCCGATAAGCAAGCATTATGATATACACTTCGAGGGCGAAGCCGTACTGCGCCCCTTAATTGAGATACGAAATGAACTGCAACCGAAGAAGTAGGTTACACAAAAAAATACACTTCTAAAGCCACGTAGCATCCTGTAGACGGCAAATAACTCAATTTATATATTGAAGCTACATTAATTTAGTTCTTAAAATAATCTGATGACGCGATTTCATATTTAGAAAGAAACCCAATATTATTCAAGTATATCTGAAAGTAGCTAAGAATTTTCAGAGTATTTTCTGAACATCCCTAGATTCGCAAATCATTTTTTGTATCCGATGACATTTTTATTGATTTACTCGCATAAGATGCACGACCTTGACAATCTCTGGCCCAGAGTCTCGGCACAATTATCGTGTTTGGCTTCAATTCCACACGCTTCGTCTACAATGTTTACCAAATGGATTTGGAGTGCGCTTAGTACCTTCTTTACCTTCCTACCTACTTACAGCCCAAAATCCAAGTGGCTTGCAGCAGGTGGCGTGACTAAGACATTCCGCCATGGCAAAGTGAGTTTTTCAAAAATTCGAAACTAATTTCAGAGTTTTTGTAGTCCCGCTTGTGGGCTTGTTTCTGTTCGGTAGTTCGGTAGTTTGGTAGCCGCTGCTGCCAACGAGCATTCAGCATTCAGTCTGCCAAACAGTCTTTTATTTTTGCCAATTTTTTTTGTATATTTTTATTTGTGCACACATGAGCACTTTTATGGTTTCGGCATTAAAAATGTGGCGCAAAATTCGAACACAGGGGGGTGTGTAATTGAAAAGGCATGAGAGATGCCTCATGGGTGGGGCTAATGGGGGATCCGTTTGCTTTTACAAGGGGGGGGGGGGGGGGGGGGGGGGGGAGTGGATGGTATTAGCCGAAGTCAGTCGCGCACTAAATCCCAATGGTAACGCACCCATTAATCACAAAAGAGAAACAATAATGCTCGGACGAGCGCAAAAGTGGTAAAAGCCGTTTCCAAAACAATGCAAGTTGAAAAACTGCTTAAAGATGTTCCCCCAAGATATCAGCCAAGTGTTAATTAATAAGTTTCATGTTTTGCGCCATGAGCATGAGCATTCTTAGTATAAATACAAGTTCGGTGAGTCAGTGGCGGTACTCAAATAGAATGGGATCACTTTCCACGGAATTAAGCTGCAGCATCTAGTGATTTTACTGCCTGACATTTCGACAGTTCTACATTTCTACATTTCGAGGTGTGGGGTTCTGGTCACCCACTC